TATTCACCGGACAAACTTTGGAAATTTTTCTATCTATATCTTTGTTCGTTTCCTTTAGGTCGATTTATAATTCAGATAGAATTTTTCCAAAGTTTGTCCGGTGAATAAAAGTGCCACCATTCGATGCAGAATTAAATTCTGAGTCGAATGGTGTAGTTTTCATGGACGGGACATACCTAGTAGAAAAGCTTTTAGCTAACACATCGTTTGTTCGTGCTAGCTCCTTTGTGCTAGCTTTACACTGATACAAGGATAACATAATACAAACAATACATAGAGAAGTTTCGGACACGAGAAAACTTTCCAACAAACTTCAATTTTTATTATTAACTTACCGCGTGAATGGCACCACGTGCAGGCATAATTCCCGTTGAAATTAATTGTCTTCAGGAACAACAATTTTGCTGGCGAATCAGCAATGAATTCTTGGTCGTTAATGACGATAGTTGTACCGTGTTCCATTAATGTTTTTTGCTGAGAGAGAACAACATTGATAAGGTGGAGGAATTTCGACGATATTGGCAATCAATGGCCAGAGATTTTGCTGAGAGCTGCGAACCAGTGGCGCGCCATCCACGTGAAGAATAAGAGTTAATTCCTGTTTCTGAAAGAAAAAAAACTTTATCTTTCAGAAAATCAATATTCAAATTGAATAAAGACACTAATTAATCGAATGTTTAAAATCAATGCTAACTAATGAATTTTCACTTACTTTGTCATGTTTTGTTATGGTTCAAATAGAAATCTGAGTGCACTATATCACCAACAGGAAACAAGTTTGTGTCAGTCGAAAAGAAGTTGAAATTTTGTTTTGCGACAGAGCGCATGGCTGATCGAACATCCATGGTAACAATTTCGGTAAATCGATTATTCATCAGATTTTGATTAAAATAAGGACAATTCGAATTGAAACATCCCTTGATGCTACTACTACCTTCACCAATATCATTTCCACACTTGTCGCAAACATATTTCGAAGTGAAGGCACTCGTCCGGCCAAATAATTTCAAAACAGAATGATGCGATGTTGATAAAATATTGGCGTGAGGCAATATCGATTTCACTAATTTCAGTAGCTTCACCGTATGACTTTTGTCCAGGTTTACAGACATTGCGAATTTCATGATTGCCATTGTTGCAGAACGAACAGTAATAGATGCGCCATTATCAATTCCGTCGTCATCGTCGAATTCATAACCATTTGTCGGATTATTCGGTGCATAAGCCTCATGCGACATGAGCGGATCAGTTGTATTTACAACAGTTGAAAGACCCATGTAAAAAAAGCTGTGAAAATCGGATTTTTTATCATAAATCTGATGGAAAAACGATTTAAATGATACGATTTTAACAGCTTTTTTACATGGGGATATTCGACCTGCTATCGTCTCGCGCATCGCCGGTTCTTTGGTGAAAGTACTTTGTCCGAGTAAAACTTTTGAGAAGTCATATCTAAGATAAACAAACAACGAAATAGAAGTATTTTATACTTACGCTCCTAAAGGTTACCTTTGACTTTGATGTATACATGCGCTTGAAGAACTTCGGGGAAGGTCTAATAATCAAATAATTATTTAAAATTTGTATTTTCACACAAAAAATACTGACTTGCTATTTTCGAATCAACAATTCCACATGAAAATGAATTTAGTGGCCAGTCAGTAAAACCGTTAGAGCACTATCCACCAATCAGAAAAGTTTTAGCGGCATTTATAAAAATCGAATTATCTTTTTTTTTGTCTGCCGATTGGTTTCGAAATTCATTTTTGAGAATCTTTTCTCAAAATGATACTTTTAGTGCAAACTCAGCGTTGTCTCTAAAATCAAAATCTTATTTCAAAATTTTTAAAACAATCCCGGTATACCGGAGGTTTTTGTTAGATATAATAAAAACCGACAGTAAAACACCATGTACCGCCGGTAAGTATAAAAAAGTAGCGACATGGGTCCTTTTCATTTCTTTATAATAGAAGTTTATTAGATTATTCTCCTCGCATAATTAGTATCTTGTATGTTACGTTTGTTCTCTTATGACATCTGTCTCTTCCGGTGTCTCTTATAGATATACAATGGTTAGATAAATAAACGAATAAAATTTCTTTCCCGTTCTGTCATGTGTGTCTATAATTATAATTAAGTTGTTTATGTGGACAATATTTTCAGCTGAAAAATCAAAAAAATATGTGCTTACTAAGGTGCACGCAATGCGAAAAACGAGCGAAATTTATTTTTATTATTTTTTGCACATGGTTCGATAGAGCGCGAGCTAGTGATCACGGTGGACTACTTTTCATTCTTTTGAAAAGCTATTTTGTAGGCAAAAATCGCAAAATCCTTGAAAATGGTTTTTTCGGATTCAGGATCAAAAATTGAGTCTGAGAAAACGTCTAGAAATATAATTGACTGGAATTTCTTCCAACGGTGGCATTTCTAGTATGTGCGACTACACTGAAAACAGGTAGGTCTTGTAAACCTAACTACTTTTCGTAGAGTGGTGCGGGAGCGAATTTTTTTAAACATTTTAATCCTCATGTTACCCTTCATCAAAGTAGGCATAGCTTTTGTGTTGATCTGCTTTCTTCGGCCGATTTCCATCACTATCAGTAAAATGGACTTTTCTCCTCGAAGAAAGCAGATCAACACAAAAGCTATGCCTACTTTGATGAAGGGTAACATAAGGATTAAAATGTTTTAAAAAAGGTCGCTCCCGCATCACTCTACAAAAAGTAGTTAGGTTTACAAGACCCACCTATTTTTAGTGTAGTCGCACATACTAGAAATGCCACCATTGGAAGAATTTTCAGTCAATTATATTTCTAGACGCTTTCCCAAACTCAATTTTTGATCCTGAATCCGAAAAAACCATTTTCAAGAAGTTTTAAGAACAAGAACATAGTGGTTTTCGTCAGAAAACCTCGTTTTTCAGAAAAGTCGGCTTTTTCAAGGATTTTGCGATTTTTGACTACAAAATAGCTTCTCGAAAGAATAAAAAGTAGTCCATTGTGATCACCAGCTCGCGCTCTATCAAACCATGTGCAAAAAATAAATATTTTCACTCGATTTTCGCATTGCGTGCACCTTAGTATATGTAGGATTCTAGGAGGAAATCCCACTAAAACGTGCATATCTCCCTTATGACAAGCAATAGGTCCGAACTCCTTTAATAGTAGAGATGACTGTTCGAGGTCTACATGATGCGCAACGTTCCAACTCGAAATCGATTGCACACCTGAGAACGTGCTCTTCCTAATCGTAATGGCAGTTTTATCAATAAAAACTACTATTAATGAATGCCAAGACATTTCTCCTTTTTTGTGTAGGACAACATTAAAATCGTTGAGTCTCCTTACTTCCAGGTATCTCAACCGGCACAAATTCCATCGCATATAAAAGAAGACTGAGAGAGAAACATTTTAACAAAAAGTGGAATTATATGGAAAACTAGGCAATGAAGTGCACTTAATGAAATACCAAAAAACACCATAATTAGGATAAATGTAGAGCGAGAATTTTAACCTTGTTATTACCAAAACTTGAGGAATGCAAAAGATTCAACATGCACACTAATTTTAATCGGAAGTTATTTATGGAAACAGTTTATATACTTGACCGGAGATGTATACAGCACCATAAAGTATTTTTTGGTGTCATACACATTTTGATACTCAATTCATAGGAAAGATGTGTATGATACGCAGAAATTGGTTGTAAAATCGTGCATTTCGGTTATAGATCAAGGAAACGTCGGCAAAATACTATTTTTATACGACTTCAACATAGTTATATTAGATAGGGCCAGTTACCTTTTCTTTATTGTGAAATTAATTTTTTCACCCAAATGGTACAATCGGCGCGCTCTACACACACATTAATCTTCTTGAATATATATTTTTCGACAAATTTAAGATTAAACCATTGCTACTGCTTTATATAAGATGGCAACACATACGTTAAGTCCTGTCGACTATATCATTCTTGCGATAGTTCTACTCTCATCAGCTGTTATTGGTGTTATATTTGGATTTTTCAAATCGAAGAAAAATTCCGCGAAAGAGTTTCTTTTAGGTAGGTTTGACTCAATCTTATGATATACAACTATAATCTCTTACTCTTTTATAGCTAATAGAGATATGGGAGTAAGTACATGCATAAATTACCAAGTATGACTTTTGTCACAACTCTATACAGGTTTTTCCAACAGCACTAAGTATCACGGTATCGTTTCTTTCAGCGGTTACACTATTAGGTATACCAAGTGAAGTTTACTTATCCGGTACTATGATTTGCTATCAAGGTAAAATGAATAATTAGTTATAATCTATTCTAACTACATATTATACTATGCTAGCTATCTCCGGCATGATCGCTTCGATAGTATCGGCATTGATATTTATGCCTAAATTTCGCGAGATGAATTTTACAAGTGTCTACGAAGTATTTTTTTCTGGAATTTAAAAATAATCAAACTATATATCGTACAGTATTTAGAAAAACGTTTCGATCGAACAGTTCGCTTGTGTGTTTCAACGATTTTTGCGTTAATTATGGTAAGAAAATATTTTATATATCCAATCAGAAACTCCATTCATTGTGTACAGTTGTTCTATATGGCAATTGTATTGTATGGACCTGCATTAGCATTGAGTCAAAGTAACTAAACTACTTATATTTTTGAAAAAGAATCTATTCAATCTAGCATCTGATATGAACATTTGGTTTTGTGTTATTTCAATCGGTGCCATTTGTACGTTTTATTCCTCTGTGGTAATTCTTTTATGAAATCAAATGAAAAACAAGATCTGATTGTGTTTATCTAGGGAGGACTAAAGGCAGTGATTTGGACAGATGTTCTACAAACATTTGTTGTCCTTATTGGTCTGCTCGCTACTATCATTCAAGGTTTGATTAAACTTGGTGGTTTCAAACGAACATTCTCTATTGCATCTCAAGGTGGAAGAATTATCGTTGATAAGTATTAGTATTAGATTAGATTCATACAGATTTTAATGTTAATGATTTTAGTATTAGTCCTGATCCGCGTACTCGGCATACAATTTGGTCGTTACTTATCGGTGGTTCATTAAATCTTCTTGCCCCTTTTGGATTTAATCAGACACTTGTACAACGTTATATTTGTATTCGTTCTACACGTGGTGCTAAACAAGCTCTATTTATTAGTGCCTTTGGTACTGCAATTATCGTTTTGCTCTCAGGTTTTATCGGAGTTATAATATATGCCTATTATGCTGATTGTGATCCGTATACACGCAAAGAGATTAATGGTATCGATCAAATTTTTCCATACTTTATTATGGAACAATTTGGTGATAAGAAAGGTTTGCCAGGTATATTTCTTGCTTGCATCTTTTCCGGGTCTCTTTCGACAATTTCATCTGGTTTGAATAGTCTAGCAGCAGTATTGATCGAAGACTTTTATAAAGGAATATTAGGTCGACAGTGGTCTGATCAAAGACAAGGTTACATATCGAAAATCATTTCGGTCTTACTTGGAGCTTTAGTTATATTATTAACTTATGCAGTCAGCTATTTGGGATCAATTCTATATGCAACTCTGTCTCTTTTCGGTGTACTGGAGGGACCTATTATGGGAGTCTTCATTCTTGGTTTTTTCTTTCCACGTGCCAATCGACGAGGTGCTCTTGTTGGATTATTAACAAGTCTCGCTTTCTTACTGTGGATTTTTCTGGGTGCTCATATTACAAAAAAACAGATAAAAGACGAGAATCTATCATTATCGATTGCCAATTGCACTTCTAATAGTACTACTACACAAATGATTTCAAACTGGACGACAACTCTTCCTATGAAGTAAGATAATTTGGAAAACTAATAAGGAACAGAAAGTTGATTTTTTCTTAGACGTGATCCTCTAATTAATCTTTATTCGGTGAGTTACATGTGGTATACACCGATCGCAGTTGCTACTGTCGTACTTGTCGGTATTATTGTTTCCTCTTTGACCGGTTCACTTCAGCCGCATGAAATCAATCCAAAATTGATTATATCAGTGAACGATATGTTTTGTTGTTGTGTACCAAAACGATGCCGTGAATGGCTTCGATGTGGAGTCAGTCATGAAGCTTGTCATAAAGAAAAAGTATGTTAATTGATATATTTTCATTGATATGCGTAGCACTTGATGTATTTTCTCACAGGAAGATAACAATGAACTGAAGATGACAACAACAGACATGTCTACTGCTATCAATACACGTCCTCTTGTAGATGAGGGTGAGGAGAGATTTGAATAAAATAGAACATCACGATCGGTTTCGACTGAATTGAACAGTTTCTTGGGATGATTTAATGGTCTGCATAAAAGAAAATTTATTTTTGAGAGTTTTTAGAATACTTAGATTGAATTCTTTGGGGCTCTAATCTAATAAATATGCAAGAGTTGATTTGGTTTCTGAGTAGGTCCTTGAATATTTACCTTTTATCTTCCAAAGTCGTATTAATTACTGGTTTTGACACAAAAGTATAAGATAGTTGAAAACAAAACAGATTTGAATATTAATTTTTCTTTCAAGCCATTTCATAAAGGTTTTTTTTGGAATCGAATATTAATCGCTCAAAGTTCACTGTAAATGAAATGATATGTATGAAATAAAGATTTTTATTATAAAGATATCACTATATAAGTAACGGTAAGGATTTGCTTCTTACATCGGAATAAAATTTTGGTTTTTATAAAAAGCTGTTATGTACAGTCATATTGCAGTATTTGAATGATGATTAAATAATAGTTTTTCTTGAAAAAATCTGTTGCTGATGTTGTTTGGGTGTATAATTTTGATTTAACAAATTATAATAGGGTGAATTGTGAAGACGTACTCACTTCTTGGAAAGGTTTTTCGTTTTTCCCGCTCAAAATGATCGGTGTGAAGCTAGCACCATCAAACTAAGGATTTTCCCAAAACGAATTCCGGTCGATAAAACCGAGTGTATTCGATGCAGAATTTAATTCTGCGTCCAATGGTGACATTTTTATTCACCGGAAAACGTTCGGAAAAAAGTTTTTCGAATTAAAAAAAAATATTTGTATATATATGCAAAAAAATAAGAATCAAGGTAAGCTCTATACCGAACGTTTTCCGGCGAATAAAAGTGGTACCAGTCGATGCAGAGCCCAATTCTGCGTCGAATACACTCGGTTTTATCGACCGGAATTCGTTTTCAAAAAATCCTTAGTTTGATGGTGCTAGCTTCACACCGATTATGTTATGCGGCTCATGTTTTTATTCTCTTCATCTACGCAGTAAAACAGCACCAAACTTTTCTTTGTCAGTTACTATTTCACGAGAAATGCATGATACTTTATTTGTGTGCTGATATACAACGGCTTCATCAACATTGAATTACAATTCATCATTTGAATATTCTATTCAAAGATAAAAGCGAAAAAATATTCACATCGTTACACACACCGAAGATTCATTGATATAAATGGATAAATGTGCGGACCCTACACTCATCAGAAATTCATACACTTATATCATTTCATTTTCTGTTATTAAAACGACGTTTTACTGATTATATTCCATGTTGAAACAATGGAAAATGATACGATATTGTTCATCATGTCTTACAACACATCTCAAATATCATCGGTGTGAGTGACGAATGACAAGATCTTTAAGAATTTCACTATTTTACCGTTGTAAAGAAATCTCATCCTCAGTTGGCTAATATTCACATGGATAGTTAAGATAGATCCTAAATTTAATTCTGTATCGAATGGCATCAAATAAATGGAGAGTCGCCGACCAATCTCCTTCACTCTAACTGATCGTTTTTTTATCTCTTTGATAATGTATAAGACTTAACAGATCATTTAATAATTGTTATAACACTTCGACTATTTTAATTCTCGAATATATTAATACAAAGTGAAAATAAAAATAAATTTTTTATTCTTTTGCTTTAATACAAAAACATCGTACTCCTTTTGGAGTCATACATGATGATCCATCATCAGAATATGATAAATTACATTTCATTTCTTTTAATTGTGGATATTGATCTACATTATCGATGATTTTTGTTAACACTGCTTCAATTACTCTTGGTTCAAGTTGACTTTGTTTCATATTTGAATTCTTGAATTGTGCAGCAATAAATTGTATCGTTGGACCATTTTTTCGTACCGCGAATTTATAAAAACCGTTTGTAAGTGAATGATATAAAGCATCATATACTTGTTGGAAATCATCTTCTTTGATTTCAATTGTTGTTTGTGTATCATCAGGTAAACGTGAAAATTCATTTCGATCAAATTGTAATGATCCACTAGCTGCATTAATACCAACTAACATTTGACACATACGTCGCATTATTTCATCATCTTTATTAGACATGATTGAATGTCTTTGTAGTTTTCTTTGGGGTGAGGGTATTTATATCTTAAAGATAAAAAGATCTTATGTCAATATTTGAAAACAGAAATAAAAAAGAACTGCTATTTGAGATCAGAATTTTATGAAACATGATATGAAAGAGAATATTGAGGTGGTTAATGACAGAAATAAAAGTCCATAAAAACTGTTTAAGACTTTTTTGAAATACAGGAAGACTTTTATTATGTGGAGGAGCTTACGTCGAGCTTCCCCCGATCATTCCAATTTATTTTTTTATGAAAATTAACATAAATAATTCAGATTTTATTATTAATGCAAAAGCAGAACGATGATTAATGAGAAATCTTCACTACTATAACAAAAATAGAAAGAGATTCACCGTGTGTCACAAATTAAATCTCGCAAGGGATTGTATTAGAAGGTTTTTATAAAGAATATCACATCGATGATATGTTTAAATCATTACATTATTTCATTTCAATGGAAATAATAAATAAGTTTCTTTGGATATTTTTTTAAATTTCGCTTTCTTTATTGTAACACTCGGAAGTACTAACAATTTATGTTGTACAGTTTCACAGCAGTCTTAAGCAATACTACCAATAACAATGTCTTACATTATGTCACATATTGTGTTAGCATTGCCTCACGTGGTGGCGCAAAAAAATAGACAAAGAGAGAGAAATAAATAAATAACGCTCGTTGGTACTGACTCGCTAGACTCTCGACTGAAGGATTGTCAAAATGAAGTTGATGGATTACTTTTCCTATAAGATTTTTCTTTGGAAGTGTATATTTTTTATAAACAATGCATACTTGAAGCAATCATTCGCTCTAAGATCAATCTCCTCATCAACAAAAATTTTCCTTTCTGAATCTAATTTTTTTATCAAATTTTGGTATGAAGTAGACATAGGTGAACAGAAAACAAAGAGCAATGAAAGCTTCATTTGTAAATATTTAGCTTGTTTGTGACGAGACAATAATGAATAATACTGCATTTTACACTATAGTATATATATATGATAGGTATTCTTTTTGTGTCGATATTTTTTCAAGGAGAAAAACCTGAAAATAACCTATGCTATTAACGATATTCTTTTTTTTTCTTAGAAAAATATGATAATGCGAAGACAGACGGAGTCGTGTTTTGCGTATGTTCCTATTTCAAATAACAAGATATTTTTTTGCAAGATCATTCTAAATATCTCCTGATCTTTTTTTGTTCGGTTTTTGTAGCAGATTCAGACCCGATTTCAGATATAGTGGTTGATAATATCCAATTGTTTCGACTGATCGATCTTTAAAAACGTTTTTCGGATCTTAAATCTTGTGTAATAATAATAGAGTATGTTACTGTAAAGATGGGTTTTACAAGTTCGATAATTAAGAATTAGAATGTTAAATGAATAAGAAAAGTAAAAGAGTTCATCCTATATATAATGATGCACCGAATAAAAACCCTGACTGACGATATTTTCATGTGACTTTTGTCATTGTTCAAAAATTCTAAAGGTATAAGTGCGAATAACATTTTCTATTTTTAAGCTTTATTCATATTGCTGTCAAGAGAATAGTTTCTATTATTCATATGGGAAAGATATACTAGGAAATTATGGTGTATTTTCATACAACATTTTTCTATGAAATTGTAGATGAAGTGAGTGAGTAGATGATAATAAAAAAAGGTAGACTCACATCGATTTCTCATGAAATTTCGAGATAAAACTTATGTTGTAACACAAAGATATAAAATACTTTTATCTAATATTTATTCTTTCCTTTCTACATCGTTTTAACAATGAAACATGATAAATGATAACAGAATTCTGAAAAGAATAATAATTGTAGGAACATTAAAAAGAAAAAAAACAATATAATTCTTATTTACTAGCAACATTTAATAAGTTAAAATCTTTTTGGATTGCATATTGGTTAAATAAACATAAACAGATTCAGAAGATCATGGCTTATTTCTTTGTGAGTTCAACAAATCGGTACGAAATCTTAAAGAATTCTCCTCTCAATACGTACATTCGATAGATTTCCTACTTTTTTTTAAAGTTTTATTCTACATCATCCACCATACCCTCACCCGGACAAAAGAATTCGTTTTATTTAGCATATCTTTTAAAAAACGTTTTCACAGAAAATTTCAGACAATGAACAAAACTAATCATAGCAACATTTCTTTCTCTTTTCCCTCGACTGTAAGGAGGGTCATGTCTTCATAAAACATCGTTTGGGAGGGCGGCTGAGGATGGATGTTAGCACGGAGGTTAGTGAGGGTCGAGGTTAAGGTTCAAAGGTCAAAGGTAAAAAAAAACAATTCCTTAAAACACGGTTGCACATGAAAACTCAGTAAAAACCGTGTATATTGATCAAATACGGCGATACTGCGTGTCATTCAGAAATTTCAGAAAAGACAGGTGAAAGCAACGACATTGTAATCCACCAGCACAACAACACGATATTGTATGTCCCTGTGCCATACTAGAAACCCTCGCGACTATTGAAATAGCCCTGTTTAGACTTCGATCTTCCACAATCATAACTTTTACGATTTACCCTGACACTTCAGAATTAACAATCAAAATGCCTCCACAACCAAATACTTCACGTCCGACACTCACCTATAGACCTATGTGGAAAAGTTTGCAAAAATCTCTCTTCCCTCTCTTTCGCAGCTCAATTCATTCATGATTTCCTCTAGAAAACAACACCTATCTCTGTTGCGCAACAAACTCTACCTCAGAGTTGAATATTCTGATTGCGCATTGAATTCTGCATTTCATGGGAGAACTTGCAGTTTGACATCTCACAGGGAGAAAAAGTTCGCATTCCAAATGTCGGAGCCGGAAGGGGCTTGTGAAGTGTGGAGTCGGAGCTGGAGCTGAAGCCTACAATATTTTGCCGACTTCAAATCGGCTCCGTATCGTTTCGATGATACTTGACATGGACATGAATTCAGATGCTTTGTTCAGCTGAAATTGAGGCTTTTATTTTTATAATGGATAATGTATATCATGTCTGTAGCATCTATCAATATGTTTCTGCACGCATTTGCGGTTATGCACTCATCCGAACTATTATATACTGTTGTGCTATCGGTCTCTCGTTCAGGCATCGACAATTGCTTTCATATCGTTTATATAGCATTCATCTGACTTTCTGGTCCCGGTGATAACTTTCTATATTGGCTTAGACAATATTCATCTCACTTCTAGACTCCGGAATTAGCTTCTGCCTTTGTTCTCGTGATGTAAATCTTTCTGATATAAATAGTTCGACTCTAACTCCAGCATACGTAGTATTTGACGAGTAGTTTTCTTCTACTGCAATAATCACATATACACATCAATTATTTATCTTTCATTTAAAATGGCTTCAAGTGCAACAGTTGCGAATTCCAATGCAAAGGACAAATCCGTTCGTTACGATAATACAAAGATTGCATCATCCTGTCAAACACAATTTTTCTACAACTATAGCAGTGAGAACAATGCGGCTGTTTGCTCATCATGTTAAACGTCATCACATGGATGAATATACTGCATGGTCGGACAAATTGGCTTTGAAAGAAGAGAAAATTTTGTCTCAGAAACCAGATATCAAAACAGCAATGACAAATCCGCGTGGAACGAGATATTCAAGTGACCATTCGCGACAAATAGAATTGTCAAGAGTGGTTACACATGACTTGATCATTTGATTGATGGAAATGTGTTCAAATCTTATCTATTGGCATTCAAACATCTGTCCGGTATGCATATTCAACCATGTATTCAAAATTATTTTCTGTCAATTTTCCCGATATTTAAGGTAGCCATACTAGTGAAAAATTATTGAAAGAATACGAAATGGTCATGACACAATATTACATCGAAGAAGGGTGGTTCGGCTAGTGACAGATAATGCTAGTAACAATATCAAAGCGTTTGGAACTGTTATGATACCCGGTTTCGAACCTTATTTTGAAGAACCTTCCAGTGAATCTTCTGATGAAAGAGATGATGATGGAGTAGAATGTGAAAACAAAAATATAGACGAAAAGGATGAGACATGTAACTGGTGTGACACGTCAGATACCACCAGCGAGCTTTTACGAATACCATGCTATATTCATACGCTACAATTGATGGTAGGTGATGGTTTCAAGGAAATCAGTTGTATTAAAGCTGCCATTACAACAAAAGTGTCCAGTATAGCAAAATTCAGGTAAAATGTTGATTCTACTTCTACTCAAGTTTTCTCAAATAAAAAGGAGATGGGATAATATAGAGCTACAGGATAGAAGTGACTTGATTATATGTATTTGCTCACTATTGCCTTTGTCAAAAACTTGTATCTATTTTTTATTAGTCACAAAAGCACGCAAATGGCAGAACGGTTGGAACAGAATGGTTTCAATATTCCAATAGCTGTGACTACTCGATGGAACAGTCAATATCATACAGTGGTGAGAACGATCGAGATTCCCTCGGTAAACTCAACGAATATTTACTCGAATTTAAAAAAGATTCATTAATTTTATCTCAGCGTGATATTGTCATTCTCCATGAATTTGCTACTATATTTGCTTTAATTGCGGAGATATTTACCAGACCACAATCAGATCAAACTGCTTCCATATCACTGGTAGCGCCATCGTTACTTGAAATATATTATGATCTTGGATCTGAGCAAGCTTCGTACAAGTACACGAATGGTCTATGCAAAGCACTTTTAAAATCAATGTATAATAGGTTTCATGGGTTGTTTAAACAAGTAGGATTGTCAATTGATGGAATAGGGAAAGTTTATTCGACATCTGAATTTTACAGCGACTCTATCTTTTTTATAACTCCATTTTTGGACGCTCGGTGTGGTCTACAATGGGTCATGCATTCTAATCTACCGACTGAACTGGAGCTGCAATTGTGTAAAACGATTAAGCGCTTGGTAGCCAGTGTTGCTTTGCAGTTGCACGGTGCGGATCGACAAGAACACAATGATACAATAGCTGAAACATTGGCGATAGCCATAGCCAACAACAACAGTCCTGGTGTGAAAAGAAAGACTCTCTTCATCTTTTGTGTGTACCGGCGACGACACACCAGTGGAACGGGTGTTTTCTACAAGTGGATTCGTGATGCAACCACACAGAGGACACATGTCTAAAGAAATGTTGGCTAAATTAACATTTCTTAAGTGCAATATAGAACTTTTGAATTCGAGTTTTGTGCTTTTATCTTCCTCATCTCTTCTCAGTCGTGTTAGTGTGTCATCTGCATTAAAATTGAAAGCCTAAAAACATTTAATAAAAGAAGAACATCAACATAAAAAGATTTGATTTTGGAGCCGGAGCTGCCCATCTCTGACTCTCAAACTGCTGACACACTACCATTTCATGACCAAGTGACACGCCAAGCAAACAACATCAAGAATGCAATGTTAACATCGTCAAAATAGGACCAAATGGGAGTTAATAAAATTAGAAGAAGTTAAACGATACATAAAGCAACTTCGAAACAGTTCCACTGGTCCAGATAACATTCACAATAGGTGTTTGAAGAATTATTCAAAATTACTTGTACAGCATCTAACAAATCTGTTCAATGCCATTTTGAATCAAGGCTATATTCCAGCAAGGTGAAAAGAGGCCAACATTGTTCTTCTCCTAAAGCCGAAGAAAGACAAACAACATTGTCAGACTAGAAATATTCGCTGTAGGACAACTAAGACGACCCAGTCGAAGACGTCACTCAGCTGTAATTCTGTTTGACATTAAAGCTGCTTTTGATTCAATCTGGCATGAGGGTTTGATATACAAGCTCAACGATCTACGCCTTCCCCAATACATCACCAAATACCTGATCTCCTTCTTAAACAATAGAACGGCTGCAATTGAAATAGAAAACATCTTATCTCGTCCCTTCAAGTTGATGAGCGGCACTCCACAAGGATCTCCGTTATCACCACTACTTTACATCACTTAGATCCAGATTTAAAAAATCCATCGATGCATTGGAAAGTTCGTTAAAGTCGAGAACACATTAATCAAACCATTGGATCACACTCGATACTTGGGTGTTATTATAGACAAAAGATTAAAATGGCGAATGCATCTCGAACATATTGAAGCCAAGATTGCTCCTCGGATCGGTCTTCGTCGATATCTATCGAGATCAGCACAAGAACCAAACAACAAGACAATGATAAATGTCTTCAAATCAATTGTACGCACAGTCATCATATACGGCTATCCTGTCCTGCTCACAGCCGATCAAAAAATATGGGATCGTTTACAAATCATGCAGAACAAAGCAATCAGATCACCAACATCCTCAAGATCAAGGACTATGCATTAGCACTTCTTAAACAAGCAGTTCAAGCAGCAACAAACAACAGCGACATTACGCTTAAGAATCATCTAGTACACATACTAGAAAACATTTAAAAGAAATCACCAAAGCCGTATTATATAGAAGCGTCGATAAACTCGATCATTCTTGTGTCGGCCGAATCTATACAAAAATCGTTATATCGGAATAACGTACGAAGCGTTTGGTATATATGCAACAACGTATATAATATAAAACGAATTCAATCCAGCTGACTATTCTTTCGATCGTTTTTTTTCGTTCTGTCTTCTTTTCATATGTAATATGGAATCGATTCAACTTGTTTGCTGACTCTTTCACCACTACCAAATCTTTCACGCGTTCTTATACCTAATACGAGAAAAATTCAATCCATTTACCGATTAAACTGTAACCGTTTAAATTCTCTTTCCTTTCCTTCAACTTCTTTTTCTTATCATGACACATCACGAACGCACACCACTACCATACACAAACCATATTGTCTCCGTGTTTATTTTCTCATCCTTTTCTTCTAGGACAAAAGACATACGTCATGGATCCTGTCTTCTTTCGTTTTTCGTGTCCAGCTTTCGTGTAATAACTAACCGTTGATCTATGGCTTATGCAGTAATGTTACACGAAATAAAGCTGTGTTACCTAAAACAAATATTTCGAACTAGGAGTATATATCGAACTAATCGATCGAAAAAAAAGAAATCGGTATTTTTTGTTGTTATATTGCCGTTCTACTCTTGTGCAACATCATACTATTTGATATGAAACTCAGTTTCATCGAGTATATGATGGCGAATATTTATCCTTCTTATCACAAATGACTTTGATCGTAAATTGTACGAATATCTTCTTAAGATTATAAAAAAAAACACTTAAATATATGTGCCATATATGATTTCTTTGAAACCAAATTCTTTCTTTTTTATGATTAATTCGATCAGTAAGAAAAGTATGATAAGTACCTTTGCTGTTGATTTTGTAACTAGATATAATAAAATAATAAAAAGTAGAGAAAGTGTATGTAGGCGTTGATTATATAAAAAGAATATAAAGTCATTTATTGCAGTCAGTTTTTATTCATCAGTTTTATTCGTCGTATAATGGCCACATTGAATCTACCACCAACTTATCCCGAATCCGCAAAACCTGCAGTAGGACAACCATCGTCTTCGATGGCAGGAGTACAGAATGCACAACAGTTGCCGACATACCCTGTGGCACAATCTTACATTGTTCATCATCCGGTTTATTTTGTCGATCCTACTATCACTCAAATTCGTGATTGGTTACCATGGTCAATTATCAATATGTTTATCGGCGGAATTTTACTCGGACTTATTCCATTAAGCTTTAGCATTATCTGTCGAAATCATAAAAGATCAAATAATGCAAGTAGTGCGAGAACAATGAGTACATTGGCTCTCGTCTTCAATATCCTTATCACATTGATTGGCCTTGCTTTGTGGATTACACTCATCGTTCTTCTTGTTCAAGCCAATCGAGTTATCACCACGTGCCTTACATATCCATATTGTTAAAAATTTTCAAAATCTTTCTTTAAATCATAGAAAATAAATAATCAACAGTTCTCTATGTTTGACACTTCTGCCAATACTCTTCTGATTTTTGGTTACGAGGCCCGTAATATATACGAGCTAAGCTTTTATTTCGTCTGAAATATAGCTGAGAGTAAGAGTGAGACAAGCAGGGTGTGGATGCAACTAGCAGCCATTATCTAGATTCCACTGCTACTAAGAAGATCACCAGATGGCTTAAGGCTGTGGGTTAAATGCATAGTCGCATGCGCAACCTCACCAACACCCTCAATCGAGGATATTGTCGTTGTGGAGAACCATTAGTTAGTGAATTAAACGAAACATATAGTACAAAAAACGTTGAGATTCCTATGATCGACAAAAAGGCTTATTGATGTTACCAAATAAGAGAACAACAGTTCAACTATAGATTGCAAAACAAAGTGACATGAGTTACGACTTTCATTCCACTTTTTTTCATTGGTCTTCTCTCTCGAATTTCGCTGTTTTCTCTATATCTGAAGTTAAAAGTATTATCTCGAAGACGTGCGCAAAAACGTGGTTATTCTTTTCACAAATATATCCACATTCACCCCAAAAAACTAATTTTTCAATGTACTGATTGATTTACTTTTATTGTAATTAGCAAATCACTTTATTTTCGTGACTAAGCAAAAGTGATATTTTAGTACTTCGTATGACATTTAATTTTTAAATTTGAAATCATCAACGTCACAGGTGAATTTATTTCTGTTATAATGAAGTTCAATTGAGCGCCCATTCGAGAGGGGGTAATTGAAGCTCATCTTGTACCAGCCTGGTTCTGGCCATGCCGAGTCACCGATTGGCGAAATAAATTTACCATAATCTGATGCAGTTATAGCACTACGAAGTGCTATTTGCTCATTAAGATCTCGAGGAGTGCTTCTACCCGTTGATTTTCGTCCAAGTGGTAGTCGCCCATTTGATGAACATGGTTCCTCTACAAGAGCGTAATCAAAATATGTACGTACTCTTACAGAAATGAATTCTTGGGACACTAGTTGAACTTTCAGTTGTAATTTGTTAAACTTCGTATTGTACAGAACGTAGCGTCTCTGATAATTCTATACTAGTTTTTGTTTTAAAAACATGAAAGCAAGCGTCTGACGATGATGGATATCAATCTTCCATATGTATCAGTACGTTAAGCTTTAACAAATATGTGAAATGAAAAACGAATAAACTAGAACTTCTTTTATCATTCTTATCCTGTTGTTCATTTTATGAAAAATAAATTGATAGTGTGTGAACACACCTTCAGGATCGTAATGTAAACTCACCATTATTTTCATTGAGCATACTGATTCCATAGCTAACCAAAACACCAACACCAAAAGCTGCAGCCAAAGCCAAATATACTGGAGGAGCCAAAGCCATACCCGCATATGGTGCTAAGGCTATAGCAGCTGGCATTCTCAGCATAGACCCTTTGCTCGCTAGTTCTGTTTGCTTCTCGTATGCATGGATAAGTGTTGGCGAGAGAAGAAGAGCAACGTAAAACCTATATTTAGCATGAAGTTAAAAAAATATTCATAGTTCAAATGCAATCCAACACTTACCATACTAGCTTGTAAATCATTTTTGACTGTAGAATGAGTGTAAGCTGGAAGTGGAAGAATACTCGACATTCTTTCGTATAAATAGGGAGTTTTTCTCTTCTCTTTAAAATAAAGCAGATAATTGTAAAGCAAATATATATTCAATTTTCTGTAGATTAAGAATAGATACGTCTGTCTGTTATATTTCAATCGACTTTCGTAGAAAAAAATCATTTGATATGAAATTGAAAATTTTCGACGAAAAACAAATGACAGTGTTTAGAGCTGGGTACGAATGGCATAATTCATGACGCGTTTCATCGGTTCCCTGGATTAAAAGAGATACTCGTATGTACATATAGTCTATTATTCTCATTGGTTTACTTGGTCTAATCATTTGGCTTACTGCTAGGCAGGCCACTATAGGACGACTATAGCATTATTCTTCGGAACGACTCTGTTTTGGAAAAACAATACACAAAAAAATTGATTAAAGTTATAATATTACCTGGTTAAAACGTATTCACTTGACTGTATTGAGTAAAATTCTAACAATTATTCGTGAACAGACGATTTTTTTAAACATTGACCTCAAGCTTTCTTCGAAAACTTTCAATTTCATAGAAAATAATAGATTTTTTTCTACTATATTTGATTGAAACACAATACACAAGTATTTATTATTAATCTGCAATAAATGGAATACATGATTTATTTTCGAGAGAAAAGAAACAATTACGCATTAATTTTCATGATGACGTAGGATATCTTAGTATAAGACTCGAGTTTTTTCAACTGCGACTCGCGACAGAAAGGTTTCCAAGTGGATCTCGACGAGCTCTATCGATTCCATCAGTCATTTTCCAGTTTTGAGTCAAGCATCATTAAGAAAAATGCTAATTACGTCACCATGCATTGTAGTCAAACATGGCAACATCAACCATTGGCTCATTCAATTCAGCCAATAAAATGGACAAAACAAGAACATGGTCTTTTCCTCAAAGCAGAACACTTGTAGAGAGTGAGGTAAGTCTCTTACTTGATTTTACAAAAAACTTACTATTGCCCGTTCGCAGGTGAAAGTTTGACAGAAGGGTAATCGAGGTCGAGGAATCTGAAGCAATGGCTATTGAGTGTAGAAAATGTTTTTTCAAACAGAAAACCAGTTCAAAGCTCCTGTTAAAAGATTTTTGCTCATAAATTTTGTAAAAAATGGTCTTTTTTCAAATGAAGAATGTGGCTGAAAAGGTTTCTCATGAATGATTACTGTAGTAGAGAGAAATTTGTTTTTGATTAGTAAAACTCTTTTGTGTCGATTTTCGAACAGATATTTATCCAAGAAATTGTAATCAACTTTTGCGGGAAGATATCGTGTGAAGAAAGGTTCTGTAAATAGATAGTCACTCTTTCACATACTTCTACAAACAAGTAACGCTCGCCGAGACCGATTCGCTAAGCCCTCGACTGATTCACTTTTAATTCGACTCTTGTCATAAGATTCTTTCAAAAGATGTATCAATGCACTGATCTCGCAGTCGGTCATCGGCGTCCCTTCGGTCCGCCACTCCCGACTGCTCGATATTGTTCATAGCACATACACGTCCTCAGATGGCACTCGCCTTCCTCTCCGACACTTCACACACAATTTAACTACTTCAACTAAATCTATACCAAGAAAGCTTTCTGCTGGAGCTTGTCTTTTGCTTACTAGACGTTATAAGAGGAAATCCCCTTGATTCTCATCTATAGGGTCATACGACAAAAGCATCTAAGATATTCAGTGCCTGATTCATGCATCCTAGACACATACCTAATTTCTCAGCCTTACATCGCGTGATACCTGGTTGGTCAGTTTTGTAATCTACGATAGCTACCAATCAGTCTCAGCTATCTCCCCACGTTATTCGTGAAGTTTCTGTTAATATTGGTCTTGAATCATGATGCAAGCACACACCATTCAAACAATCTTTTCTCATACGATTCTCCCTTCGCACGAAAGAACATCTAATTAGTCCTCGTACCACTCCTCAATACACTATTGATATAGTCAAATTAGAGATTTAGTAAATTTCGAGCTAAGGCAGTACGGCATATCTCTCGGATATACAAGCGTTGTTTGGTCAATGGTTGAACCCATTTCAAACGATTTTTTAAAAATTAAAGCATTTTGGAAAAGGCGGGAGTGTTTTTTACCTTTGACGTCGCCGGCACAATTCTTCTCATCCCGTCCTTTACTCCACCATCAACATCCAGTCCCAAGACTCCTCCCAAACGGTCCTTTATTGAGGTTTGAACGTTTTCGCAAAAATGTTTTTCTGACCTTTGACTCTTGGTCCCCGACTCTCACTCCCATCCCAAACCATATTTTATGAAGCTGTGAGCATTTTCAAAAAAAATGTTTTCAATTACCATTGGTTAAAACAAATGTCAATTTCAGGCTGGCTACGTTCAACTTAGTCTTCGGGTTTCTATGAGGCAGGTTCAAGTCCGCAAATTCTAATTAATGAATTTTATGACCCTTGAATTCTGATTAGTCAATTTGACCCGTGTAACAGTTTTTCATTGCGACCTTTGACCCTGACACAAACCCACAAACTATTTTTTTTCATATGACCCTCCTTTTAGTCGAGGGAACAGTTGCAATGAACAGCATGACGAAATCAACAGAAAATGTGGATATTGAGGAAACTATAGAAACTGTAGAACAAATGGGACGATTCTCTCATACACACAGTAAGTAATCATTCATCTTCAGAATTAACGCTATCTTTTCTTACAGCACCAAATCAAATTTTGATAAATGCATCGTCTGATGATAATTATCAGCCGATAACACCATTTGTTCCTTCAACATCTGATCTCGTTCGATTCAATACTAAATGGCAAGAACAATTGAAAGTTGAAAGAGAACGAGTTAGACGAAATTTAATCACTGGTAAAAATTATAAAATAGGCGACGAGTCAAACATCGACGATATAGAAGATACAGTTGTAACACTGATAAACTCAACTAATTCAAATATGAGCATGTCTGATAATTATAACTCAATTCTTCCAGTTGCTTCAGTAACAAGTACAACATATTGTAATCAAAAGAGCGTCACTGATAAATGCACACTAAACAGAGAGCAAAAAGCTGCATTCATGATAATCACAAGTCACCTTGATGGTGACAAACCGTCACGCACAGGTATGTTTATGCACTTGGTTCTGTATAATCATAAACTGAAAAATATTATTCATATAGGAGACAACAATGGTCAACTCATCATGTGTATACCCAGATGTGGTGGTACAGGAAAATCACAACTTATTCGTGCTGTTACTGAATATTTTCGTGCTACAAACAGAATACAAAAGATACGGAAGCTAGCACCATCTGGAATTGCAGCCGCTGAAATTGGTGGTATGAGTATGGTTGGTTTGACTTTACTCGGAAAACTCAGTCGAGTCCTTTGTGCCGCTAAACATGCCGATCCGCAAATTCCTTTCGGTGGTATAAACGTGATATTCTTTGGCGATTATTTACAGTACCGGCCAGTATACGATGCTCCGTTACACACTGACTTTTCATCGAAAAACAAAAAGAAATCCAACTACGTGTTACACGTTCTTTAATTCTACAAATTAATTGTGTTGTCAAACTTACTCAACACATGCGAACTGAAGACATACGATATCTTCAGTTACTTGAACGACTTCGTCAAGGTCAATGTAGTTATGAAGATTATGAATTATTATTGACGCGCGTTGTGGGACAGCCAACCGTATCTCTTCGTGAACCGCCATGGGATCAAGTAAAATATATTTCTCTACTCGAAATAAACATATTTTCTCTCTGTTCTCTGTTTTAGTTTTAGGGTCCAATGCTTGTATTTAGAAATGAAATACGAACACAATTGAACCACAGANACAGTTCTTTTGATAGGAACTGAACTGGTTATTTAGACAGTTCTTTTCAGAAGCACTGATGCCTGGTGACAGTTCTTCCTCAAGAACTGTTCCCAAAACAGAACAATATTACTCACTACCCGGAAGTATAATTCCCATAACAGTACAAATTTGTTCTGTTTTGGGAATTGCATTTCCGGGTAGTGAGTAATATTGTTCTGTTTTGGGAACAGTTCTTGAGGAAGAACTGTCACCAGGCATCAGTTCTTCTGAAAAGAACTGTCTAAACAACCAGTTCAGTTCCTATCAAAAGAACTGTTTAAACAGTTCAGTTCTTGGGAACTAAACTGAACTGTCCGACCCCTACCTGTGTCGTTAACTAACCATTTCTAAACGATATCTATAACTCTCGAGAAGAAAGTAGCACAGAAGAAGCAATGTATTTTTTACCCTTGTCATGAGCAATTCAAGGTTAGAAAATGAATGAATATTTTATATTAATGAAAACAATTCGAATTAGAATTATTGTAAATATTACAGTTCGTTCGTGTTAAATTACACGATTGAAATGAAAATATGGTTTAATGAAAAACAAACACCCTGTAACATTAGTCGTTTATCTTGTTTTCTTTGCCGTTGATTTGTATCACGTCAGGTAAACTTGAAAAGTTTCATCTCATTTTGTATTTTTCTTCAATACTTAAGTTGTCCAATCATATTTTCTTTACACTTTCACACAAAAAAACTATTAAAAATACATTTCTTACACAGAACAGATTGTGGTTGTTCCTCAACATAAATTATCTAAACGATTTAGATGTGAAAAAATATTTTGCAATTTTATTTTTTCCAAATAATTCACTTCTGTGGTTATTGTATTTCAAATGATATTCAATACTAGAATAGAATTGTTTGTATGCAAATCTAACGATAATAACGTTTCAGAGGCGTGTCATCTGTTGAGAAACCGACCGCGGTTGTTGTTAGTATTGGTTTTCATTCTAAGTCGAATCTTTTCATTTTTCCTTTTCATAGATCCAACGTATTAACTAAACGTATAGATAATACGAATGATTCGTTCGGCTGCAGGTTTTCATTCATTCATTCATTAGTTAAATCAATGTGGATTTGTGTGAATTCCTTATCTTTTTTTCAAGAGAACGTTATAGTTGAAAGAAGTAAGTAGTTTATTTATTTATTTAGTTAGTTAGTTTAGAAGTAACTCGAAAAATGCTACCATCGATTCTTTTTATTGCTGGATGTCGTTCATGAAATGACATACTGGTATAAATATTTCTTGCTTTTTGTAAATAAGCTAAACTTCGTTGACAATCATTTTTCTTTTCATGAACAAGTCCTATGTTTTCTAAAACAGCAGCAATATTGATATGTAGATCAGGACATGATTTTTTAAAAATTTCTAATGCTGAATAATATTTTTCCAATGCTAAATCTAGTTCATCTGATAATAAATGAATATTTCCAAGTGAACATTGCGATTGTCCAATATCAAGACGGTTTTCAGGAGGGTGTTTTTTACGAATTTCCAGCGCCTTTGTATAATAATCATGTGCTTCTGTGTATTTCTTCATAGTCTGATAGACACTACCGATGTTGTAGCAGCATCCAGCAACGTCTAAACAGTCTTGACCAGATGTACCTTTAAATATTGTTAATGCTTTGTTAAAAAAATCTATTGCCTGATCATAATCACCTTTTTTGTTATAGACAATAGCAATACTATTATAACTCAAACCTATATTACGATGATCTTTAGAACGATTCATTTTAGATAATAATTGTTCGTCCATTTGAAGGGAGTTTTTAAAATGCGCTAAGCTTTTTTTATATTTTCCATTTTCTCGTTCAATTATACCAAGTGAATGATAACATCCAGATCTGTTATCATGATCATTAGATGCGTTCTTGAGGAAACGACGATAATACTTTTTAGCATCATGTAATTTACCCATGCAAAGAAGAATATTTCCAAGAGAAAAAAGATTAACTTCGTTAGGTTCATATTCACTGATCATATAATCCATTAATGCGCTAAATTCTTCATCGTCGATTGAACACAATTTCATTTGAACGAGCCAGTATTCCTCAGTATATGGACAAACACCTATAACTCTAAAAACCGATCCTGCCATGAAGAGTATTTCCATCTCATCTTTTTTGCTGCTTATTTTTGAAATATCTGCGAATGGTTTGATGTTATTTGACTGGCGATCAATGCCGATTTGAAATAGAACATTTTCTAAATTGTTCTCTTCAGATTTAGGGCTATGAAAGTAAAAACAGACGTTAATATCATTCGATGTTGAGAAAAATGTATTAACCGAAATAAGCTGCCCAACAGCAGCCTGTAACCTTTTTATTTCGCGGGATGAAATACATTGACCTCGATAAACTTCATCAGGACATGAATCATCTTTAATGTCCTGCAGTTCTTTTCCAATATCATGAAGAAACAATCGAAGGTAATATAATAGATCAATTTCTTTGTTTCGAAGTGCTTCATTCAGTATTCGAAATACGCCCTTATCAGTAGTATACCACCATAATGCTGATTTTGTTTTATATTTTTCTAAAAATTCTTCCAATGATTCTAGACGAATTTTATTCTCTTTCTTGTAACTTTTGTAAAAAGAAATAAATTCATCGATTTCATCATCATTTGATTGTAATCTAGTTAGACAATTAATTAATAGTTGTGAATAAATAAAAGCACCATTGAGTTCATTTGTTGAATGTCCATTAAAGATATCAAACGAAATATCATCATTAGTGCTTCTGTCTCGTTCATTGTAATCGAAAAGAAGCTTCTTAATAAGCTCATTTACTCGAAGAAATATTCCACGGATCTAAAGAAAAATATCGACGTCTATTATAGAATCTATACTATCATACCTTCGTGTATTTATTAATCCATTCTTCATATTCTTCTTGACTTGAACCGTAAATATAAATTGCTGAAATCTGCGACTGCTCATGCATTTTTGGAAGAAATTTGTCAACTAATTGAGTATTGAGTACGAGGATATTTCTGTCATCTTTCACTGCTTTTTCAATATAATCCGTGCATAGTTCTTCTTCTGTGAAAATCATGAGATTGTCAATTAATATTCGGAAGCGTTCTAGTTCAACAAGATCCTGAGAGTTCTCGCTGGCACTCTGCAACCAAACAAACGAAAGTTTTTCCATAACTTTTTGAAAAACAACAATTGAAAATTTGGCAGACTATATTTATAGAAATAATCTTCATTTTATTATTCAAAGATGGTATCAGTTGTTCTTTTATTCCAACTGGCACAGATTTCATTAATAACCAAAGTAATATGAAAAAAAATTATATTTCTAGTCTCAGCAATTAGAGACATTAATCGAATAGAAAGGAAGATGGTTTGATTTTATTTGTATGAAACTTTTCGATTTAACTAATATTGATTACAAAATTAGAATTTGATCAATCTCAAATAGTGTCACTTGAGACATGTAATTCAAAATGCATCTAATAGAAAGGAAGGAAAAATTGTTGTGCATATCATTCATACGATTCGTTTGTTTTTCTTTTCGTTTTGATGACAAGTACAATGGCAATATCCACCCGTATCATTGCGCCGATAATAACCATCATCATTCTAACCGCCGCCATAAGGAATGTAAATACAATCATCACAACCAGCTGCGCGAAGGTAACTTTTTTTTTCTTATGTGAGCAACGTCATAATTGTTTATCGTCGATGCTTGATTTAATTGTGACGTATTATATTCAATATTGATAAGATTATTCCAATCGATTTGTGGATTTTTCTTGATGTGTAATTGAACAGGTCGTTGAATGAAATGATCTAATTTTTGCTAAAGAGTATTGATCAATTTATTCAATCGTTCAATATCATGCTCAATAAAATCATTAGTATCTTTTCGTATATGAATTTCTTTTCCAAGTGAGTCAATTTCTTCTGTAATATCTAATCTTCTATGGTGTATGGAATGTAACGCCTGTTAACGAATATTATCAGCAATTTAAGTTACTTTTTCCATTATAGATCTTTACCAATGATCATAACCTGAGCAAATGAAGAATTTTCAACTTGTTGGATTTGATTTGTTTTCATCATAAGTTGATTACAGTTGCTCAACAAGTGATTCAATTGCCTTGTCAAATAATAACGATGATCATTAAAATGTTGTGAACAAAATATTGATTGACATTCTGTACAAATACATGTTCCGGGAATAGTTCCACATGTCGAACATCGTTTTATACTTTTCATTCTCTATAGATTAGTGAAATGCTATATAATGATACGAACTCAATTCAAAGAATAGTGACCAAATTTCTTATATCGCACCCTTTATTGATTTGATCATCACTCTCCCTCCTTCTCTTTCTCTCACACTTTGTATTGTACCTGATAGATGCGATTATTTCCACCGTCTGTGAATAGAAGACTACCATCTTTCAGAACAAGTGATCGAACTGAACATCCGAATGTATCCGGACCTGATGCATTTGTGAGAAATCCATATACAAAATCTTCATTAGTAACCTAATGGTCGATGAGTTGTTGTATCAAATGGAATAAAGGCAATGTTATGACCTACATCGTATCAGATGTGATCATAAGGATTTTACCCTACATACATCATATGTGCACGATGGTTCTCCTTTCCTGTCATATACATGTTCTCTTTCTCTCTCGTCATATACACATATGGATATATGACGAATTTTCTGCTCCTTTCTTCTTCATTTCAAATGATGGATTTATCCTTTTCGATCTCAGTCATCTGGTAAATTTCCAAAGAGCCATGTCAAGGGATCAGTTGATCACTATATAAACTCGGTTTTACAGTTGAATAAATATATATGATCTTGTCCTCATACAAGAAAAATAACATCGTCACAACAATACTTTCAACACGTTGTGAGGATTAATCATTTGTATTGTTGATAAATGTAAATAGTGATTAAATAAAAATGTGCTTCCTATCAGGTAATCTTGTGATGATGGTTGACTAGTAATTGTTAGTCAGAAAAATATTAATGTATCACTTGTATACAATGTTTGTTATTTTAAACAACAGATATATACACAAGAATAAAGATTAGAAAAGAATTTATTAAGTCGTAATAAAGTGAAGAGAACGAATAAGAGAGCTCGAACATGAAAAGATATGATTCACATAAAGACAAAAAGTATATACTAGAACATATTACTAGAGAAGAATGCAGGTGAATACGCGTATTGCGGCAGAACAAAAGAGAAAAAAAAGGATATGTATACAATGACGTCACTATAATGATAGAAAAAACGAGATGAGAAAGCGACAATACACAATATTAGTTTAAGAAGGGCTTGTGAAAATATTATTGCATCGAGATGTCAAAAATTTTTAAATAGAAAATACAATCATCTCATTTTCACAGAAACTTGCTGTGCTTGTTTCTCTGCAAAAAGAAGCATGGACACGAATCCTCTTAGGGTTTCTATCTACACTATGAGCCCTAACGGAGGGTATCAGTTGACGAGGTTCCCTCATTAGTAGCGCCAGAGTCATCAGTAACGTGAATAAGAAATTGATTATGTTGTAAGAAACGTTCGGCATCTTTCGGATTGTGTCTCGAGAAACTAGGTAAATCATCGAAATGTGCTTTACGAGCTTTCGCTAATAATGTTGTATCAACCAGGTTGGATGACGAAGATGTATTTAAATTTGAAGGTTTGGATTCATGAGTAGTAGATGTTGAAGTGTTATTAATAGAAGCCATTAGAATCGAAGAATCTGTTCGTAGAGTATCAGGGAATAAAGGGATGGATGAGGTATTCGATTGATTAGAGCGAAGCTTCTGAGCAATCGAGCGAGTAACCGGGCGATTCGTGTTGAAACATTGAGAAAAACAAACTTCTTTTTGTTTGAAAGAATGGAGAGACAAAGGCAATAAAAAGAATATAAAGAATATGCTGCGGTTGTAACTAAAATTTACCTGTAATTGAAAGAAGATAATTGACAATATGAGTCTCTATACAAGAGGCCCTGTGTGATGAGAAAAGATTGAACGAATCGAGTCGGTATACGAGAGGCTCTGAGTAAGAATCGATGAGTGAACGATGGAAGAGCAGATAGTGAGTGCCAGGGCCGCCAAATTGTTATGGTTGTATATCCTTTGATCGAGTTCGAATATACAACTAAACTGTTTATTCGTGTTCCACGAAATAATACAAATTTTCTCACCGAATAGAAAAAAAAGATAACGCGAGAATGTGTAAACGAATGAAGAAAGGAAAAGAATGCATAAACGAATATGATTGGGAATAATAGGGGGATGTATAAACGAGCATGAGCAAAAGAAAAGATGAGTGGAGGTGGGTGTATGCTGATGCCATCACACCGTAACACAACATCAGTTTTCCCATCTAAAGCAAGAGATACTGGGAAAGCTGAAATTTTCACAATAAACTATTCTCATCAAGACCTTTCTCTGTACGAAGTTTGAAGTGAAAATTTGAGAATAAGTTTTTTCCATATTCTTGAGGGGGACCACGGTAATGACTTATTTCAATATGCTGATGATACAATATCTCGACAATAACAAAGTTTGGGAAAGAACCCTTGTAGGTTTTTTATCCATACTCTGTAAAAAAAGGCGTCATACTAAACCATATAAGGTTCTAGATTTCGGTACCATTTTCAGAACCCTCTAAGGTTCAAGCTCAATCTGGTTTTATCCAAAACTTTTTTCTATTTTCCCAAAAAATGGTTCTAGTCTTCCAGAGAACAGTTCATTTCAGTTGCTCTACCTTCCACTATCTATTGGTTCCCTATTCAACTACTTATCCTTGTCTTTTGCGCGCCACTTCTATCCATGAGCTAATCTATAACTACCTATTTCTAATCCTAATCTTAACCTTATCCTTAACTGACTATACCTGAGCTCAGTGGCGTAACCAGGATTTTTAGACCAATGGGCAAACTTTGCTTAGGTTGGAAAAAAGTAGTGGGCAAAACGGGCAAGCTTTTTGTCGATAGGGCAAAACTTTTACACTGATTCAAGTTTCAAAACACGACCACAAACAAAAGTGAAAAATAAGGATCTTTTATTTTTTAGTATAAAAAACAGAAGAAAGTCCTAAACGCTGTGTTGTTTCCTTCACTGTAGTGCAGTATAAGAGAATGCAAGACAGGAGTGCCCCGACGGTGCGAAGAAAATCGGTTGGAGTCGCGAATCTTTACGTTAATCTCGCAAATTTTGTTTATTTTTACTCACAAACTTAGGAGTAGCTTCAGAAGGTTTAGAGATAATCGTAAAATCTATCAAAAAGT